ATTAATCCAATTGGATATTTGCCATTCTTATTGTACTCTAACGTTATTGTCGTTGTAAATATTGTGCGACGATTCATTCGGGTTCCCGGTCCCCACACGATGTGTTCCATTGATCACATCGGCAATGCACAGCCGCCGTACTCATTGAAGAGCGGGCTCCATCAAGAGCCGCACTACAACACGTTAACAATCCGCGCGCTATGATGAGGCACCGTGTAGTGCCCCGAAACGCGAACCTCGGACAGTGAACTGCACAGAGATGACAGGCCGCAGTCATCTTGCGTGGATAACTTTCATGTCTCTTTGAGGATGTGATCACGCAGGGTATGAGCCGACAAAACCCAGCCTCAGTGTCCCTCGTTTGAACCTTATCGAGCAGACTGACATAGCATTTCATTGTCGATGTGGTCAAACTTTCATTAGTTCCAGCTTATTACCCCATGTATGGGCGTGTACGACGCTGGATTTTCAATGTACTGTACAGCCACGACATAATTTGAATGTTTGTTCCCAAAAAGCATGAGCGGTGGGATTTAGGAAAGAAATTCCTGGGAAACCACAAGGATTCACTTTTATTGTCAAGCACCATATGTGGACTGTAATAGATTAATACGAGAACATATGCAGGAGAATAATTGCCGAGTGGAGGCCAAAGGAGTGAACGCACACAAGAAAATCCACCACGGAAATTGAGCTTCGAGATCGGCCATGGATTGATCATGGCTGATAACGATGATGACAATGACGACGAATTAACACGCGCCTGCAATTAGCTACCATACAAGCAACTCCTGCAGCTGTTTTCTGCCCTGCGATGTCCTGTGCACAGATGATAACCGATGGGTGGGAGTGAGGTTACGTGCATGATGAAATGTGCTTTCGCATCATCAAGGCTTTGTCCTTTGCCTTCCGTCTGTCACTGTGGGTAACCTCAGTTACACCGAGACACTGATACATTTCAGTCCCTTGGCCGCTGAAATCAATCGCCATTCTCTTTTCATCGCTTAAATGCCACCAAGTGGTGCCACATTTGAGTGCACATTCCTTTTCCGGTATGTTTTTTTTTCTTCATTTGACTGAACATCATTGTCTTCTCGAGTTAAACGATTGAGTCACAATTGGATTATTGCTCAAATCGGGTTCTGCCGGTATCTAGCTACGCAGATGATAAAAAAAAGCGAGCTGACTCTTTAAATAATGGCGGCTGTATTAAAAGTATCACAGAATATGGTTATACGCCGCGCTGATTGCCAGCTTATGCAATAAAAGGCGAAAATCTGGCAGAACGCTTTTCTTTGGCGGTGCTGATTCATTGTCTGAAAAACCCTATTCCAGAAAACCGTGCACGACTGTGTTGAGCGTTATGTTTAAAGTTGAGGTAACAATGGTCCAAATGTAAGAATTTGGTAAAACTGTGACTTTAATGTTGGGCTCAGTAGCTCAATCACACAGTGATGCTTTCCACATCCCGTGTGCTTGTTCAATAGCCATTTCCCAGGTAAAGTGATGGAAAAGTAAAAACAAATATTCTTTATGTTTATTCGTGAAATAAATTATAATTATTTTCTACATTGTAATGACATTCAGCCATTTTCATACAACAAATACATGAACACCTTCCCGCAAACCATGTTGGTCACGGATTATTTAATTTTCTGCCATACTGATTTAGGGCCGAGGATGACTGTGAAGATATCACCCGCCACTGATGTTAGCTGTGCCCAGTAATCAAAGTTTGTTCGCCGGGTTCATAGCACAGGACGGGAGTCACAATCTCACGAACCCTGCAGCTGCCGTTACGAGGCATGCAATGCAATAGTTTTTTTCTTATTTTTGCCTCTTCTCCAAATTCCATCCTGATCGTTGCTCTATTTGTGTAGGCAAAGTACCCATTCGGATTTCTCGCTGGTCAGCGCAGCCCTTCGTGTTAGAGAATGACCCACGGAAGCAGATCTCACGGAGCTGCCTCCGACATCCCTTAAAGTGACTGACCTATGGACCACACAGTATTTTTGTTACCTACGTGACTTTACCGAAAAAACCTAAGAATATAATAGTTAGCATTTCTCAGAGCTGGAATTTTTGCGAAATTAAGCATATGACCAAAATGCAGTTTGCAAATGTTTTTGTGAAGTCCTTGGTGCTACACTCGAGAACCCGGTTCATTCATCACGCGGCTGCATGGATTTTTAAACCCAGGATCTCGGTGATGCTGGCTGAGCGCTCTGACCTCTTGAGTCACCGATACAACTCTTACAGCGGCTTTAAAATAAATATACCCTTGATAACATACGATTCAGTAATGTTTTGGATAGACCGAACTATTGCACGCAACTTTCATAATTACTGTTAAATGGTTTTCATCGTGACTTTACCGAAATAACCTAAGAGTAATTCCTGCAGTCACGAAAGCTTCAAGTCAAGTTTGAATGATGAGCTTTCCTGTTATGACGGTTTGGGCAAACCACACGCAGTTTTATCTTCGGTGTTGAACCAAACTGAACTCGTACGTCTATTTATACAATTTGTCCGCACATATTATTTATATATTTCAGTGTTAATTATTTCTCGACTATACGTTAATTGACTGCAGGGAGTAATATGGAGGAGATGCTATGCTGGTGCTGCGAGAATTGGGGAGAAGGAGGAGCGACGGGGGGGGGGGGGGGGTGCGGTTAGGCATTGAAATACCCAGCAAGCAGAAGGCGCATTCAAGGTGTCCACGCATGTTAATTTTAAACAAAGGAATATTTTTTTAGACGTCATGAATATGGCCCGAGTCTGTGGGGCCCCTTTTTGCTCACGGTAAATAATACGGTGGCTCTCAGATTTGCCCTCGCTCGGGCAGTGAAGCATAAATGGCTGTGGATTCATTTGAGATTGTAATTAGCGTCTTGCAAAGAGTATCATTATTTTGTACACGATGTTAAAAATAACGAAGCCGACTTTGTTGTAAGTATTTTATGAAGATGTGAAAAGGATACATTTGATACAGATTACCTTGGTTCCTTTTTCTGTTCTTCGACGCTATGGGACATCAGCATATGATCATGTCTCAACATAACAAAAACATTCTAAACCAGGCGGGCAACAACCATAAAATAAAATAAAACACAACATTGACGGGCATGCGAATTTTGGTATGATATTGAAAATATCATCAGATAATGTTCACCATGGTGACAAAACAATACCATACAAATATCACAGATGCAGATTGAAAAATGTTGGAATAATCTGCTCGTGTTTCTTGTGAAAATTCGTCCTAATGAAGTATGTCCTTTCCATTATGTGTCTGCCAAAACGAGAAAATGCGGTTAATTGAAACTCATCCTCCTGGTAGCGACGCTCCCCAACGTAGTTTACTATGATGCTCGGGAAACGGAGACATTGTATTTGCAAATACGTCAGGGTTTCATGCACGAATTGGCTTGTATTTATGACAGGTGATTAGCTCGAGGGAGTGAAGACGATGACAGTATGGAGTGTGGGAGCTGAAGGGGTCCATTTGAGTGGGGAGGGGGGATAATGGTAGCGTCTGTTCATGTATGAGAGAGTATAGTCGTACAGATATAGGTATGTGTGTGTGTGCATAGAGGAGCGGTAGTATAGCACGCCGCGCTTCGAACCCGGCAACCTGAGTTCGATTCCTGCTCGTGGCCAACACCAGTGACGATGATCTGAACCGGTCCTGGGCCTCCCCTAGGTCGACTCAGCCTAAAATTATTACCTGGTGTGGTTGTGTATTAAACATGGCCACTGTGGAGACCAAGATGGCCGGGCGTGGTGTTGGCAACCAAACCTCTCGTGTGCCCTGTCGGCCTTCATGGGTGCTACTAGCTAACAGCACTTGCCCCTAGAGTCTGTTAAGGCTATACGGTGGGCTTAACTTTGCATAGCAATCGGGTGAGTGGCTCGTAATGGGAATGTTGCGAGTTCAAATCCTGGTGGGGGTTAACACAGCCACTCATAACTGTGGGGTTGATCAAATGATTACCACTTTGTGGGGAAGACAACAGTGGTTGTGCGATGGGTCGACTTATCATGTGGGTAGACGGGGCCCTGTCATAGGAATGTTGAATTCCCACCACTGACTCAGAGGGAAATGAGTACTACCTCAATGCTCATTGAGTAGGATTATCACTTACATTTTTTTTGTACAAAGGAGACATGGGGAAAGTATAGTTTATTTTTATATGGACAGGAACTGAAAACATACCGCTGTTTAGTACGGCTGTTGATTTTTTTCTGACAGCTTGACACTATATCAACCTACAATCTGCCATTGGAATCCTACAAATAAAATATCTGACAGGACGTTACTTGACAGTTTGTACTAAATATTCTTTTGAAAGTCCGTGAACCTACGTCGACACGATAAACTACTGTGCCGTAACAAAAATAAACAACAATGCTTTGGATGCTCCATGATATTAAGTGGATTTGATTTTCAAAATAATAATTCATATATCTGCATATGCCCTAAATTAGATAATCTTGTCAGTTATAATCCATAAGAGTTGACATTTTCACACCACGAGATTTAATAATATCTAACGGTATGGTGGTGGAACATAGTAGCAGTCGTTTGTGCGCTGAGCCGTAAACCACGTGACACGAGTTTAATACGAGCCACAGTTAACATCAGTGGCGAGTGATATCCGAACCGGTCCTGGGATACCCCACCTCCCGTCTAATTAATCAACCCCCACGCTGACCGGTGTGGTGAACTATGGTCAAAGAACCCTGCAATCAATGTGACATTTGGGATGCCTTCATGCGACAATGGTTTGATCCAGCGCAGTATATTATTATTATTTTTATTATAAAATGTACACTGGAATATTTGACAGTCACAAACTTTCTTGCAACATTTTGCTTGTTCTAATCTATTCAATCTGTGATTTCTGTTCCTTTCTCAGCTCAATGTCCTGTGCTTTGCAGCTCGTGCTGAATCTGTGCCTGACTGTTCCTTTATCTCTATCTTTCTCTGCTGCCAGATGTCAGATTTGAAAGAGGTGGGTGGATATTTATTCCTTGAAATGCCCGGTCACATTTGAACGTCTGTATATAAAATGCAGCGTGTAACGACGACGAGGTCACGTCTGAGTTATAACCAATTCTTCAATTAAAAGGAAAATCACTCGCGCGGAATGCGTGAGGCGTGATCGGGTAAATGCTTGCGATGCTTTGCCAATGGAGAAGGTGGAAGGTCTAAATGCAAATCCAAACAGCAATTCTAACAGCTTGTCGACAGAATGCTTATTAGTATTATTATCTGCTTGCACTTCCAGTGTGCGAAATGATAAATAACTTCAATTAATACAGTCATTAATTCATTAATTACATTGGGAGTGTATCTTTGAGTGTTGGGGGAGGGGAATGAATGCGCGCAGATGCCCTTCATGTGTGCTGAGAGATTGCCTTTGTTGCAGTAAATCTTTCTTAGTCATCATATTTAATTGAGTGATAATTGCCTAATCCTGAATATATTTCCACGTAAATTATCGTCGAGATGTCTGCAAGATGTTGTCATTTTGACCGATGTATAGTAAAAAAAAATCACCCCATAATATGCTACTTTATTTTGAAAACAACTGAGGCAAATTCATAATTCTGAAATCATGTTATTTTATTATCCGCTAAGGTTTTGTGTCATTCCAATATCTGTCCAGTCAACCGTTGCACCATATTATATCTACACCCCGACTTTTGGCCTATATCATATTAAATACAGTATGTTACATTATTTTCTATTACTTGTATAAATGGAATTCATGATTTAGATAGTATGCTTATATATAACATGCATCGCACTGCATTTGCACATGTTGAAGTTTGTATTATTATTATAAAGTAAAAGGGCATATTAAATAAATTCCCACCCTGGTTTAACCAGCAGTCCAAAATTAAGTATTTGTCATCTGATGCTCAGCCACTCATATGAAAAACATATGGCATATATTCTGCAAATATTTTTTTAAAAATGTACTCAATCAGATTGGACAGTAATTCAAATTGTATCAGATAATCAATTGCCACTTTGCCGAGGGCCTGTGCAGTCCCTAATATGTGTGAACGTCCCTAATTAGCAGAAAATAATGTTCTCCAATTAATTATATGTGAATTGGCAAACACACATATTCATTAGTTCAGTGCTTTTGCATACCAAGGTAGGCAGGCAAGCGACTGGGGGTTCTATGTGCTGATTAATTTAGGACTAATTAATGTATTCGTATAGAATTGGTTAAAGCATAGAAATTGTACTTTAATATTAAATTGCATTAAAAAGGAGCGCCATTTCTATTTTCTATTGTGAGAAAACATGCCTTGTTTTAATTGCAAACATAACTAATTGCAGTATAATTTATGATAATTTAAGTCATGTTAAAACGCTTTGGACTAAATGACAATCGCACATTGCCAAACACACCATTAATATTTTGTTGAACTTGAGAATATTCCACAATTCTGAGGAATATCTATAAATTATGCGGGGTGAATGTTAATGGTCTTTGTCGTGGCAAAAGTTTGCGAATTTTCACAATCTGGGCGTGAAATACCATTTCATGCTAACACTTTCCAGATGCCGGCTAAATTCTAGGCGAAGCCACGGTTGGCACATTTGTAGCAGACAAATTTCACAGCGCAATTTTGGGACGAAAAAAAAAAACCCCCAATGCAAAATAGGGAGGCAACAAAAAAAAATCACGACTATTTCTCATTGTATTTTGAACATTATTCTGCCGCACACACCCGATGAAAGGAAAACGGAAGGTCATCCAGATTGCTGCGCGTGCATACCGGGCAAGGGTGCCCGAGTGACGTGCGTTTAAATCGCTACGTCACGAGCTGCGGCACAAAATCAAATGTCCCGCATATAAACGCCTTGGCTTTTTGTTGTTGTTGCTGTTGTTGCTGTTGCGCTTTTGTGATCATGGCGCTCGGCCGCGGCTCCAGTAATCAAGCACAAGAGGTGTCCCACTGCTGGAGTCGCAGAATTGTGGCACAGTGCACTGCGGTGTAGGTGAACCGCGTGCAAATTGAGAGGCTTGCCGAAGACAAAGGGAACAAGGCGCCACGCTTTGCCGCTGCAATTTCAGCAACGCAACAATTTACGTGTAATATGCAAAATAGGTTTGCGGTTGTGCGAATCGTTTAAAGGGACCTGGCTGCCTGTAGCCATTTTCTCCCGTGGCGATGGGAGTGTTTCGGGTCCTTCCTTTCTCCACACGATGCAGCAGGGAAGGAGATAATCTTTGCTCAAGGCAGTCGCACAGGGGGTAGCTTGCTATTGTTAGCCTCCTCCTCCTCGAGGAATTACCTAAATTGAATGCAGGCCCACTTTGTCTTTTATGTCCTGTGTTGTTGTTGTTGTTTTTTTTATACCCAGTAATGGCAGGTGCATTAGTCTGACAGTTACTTACCGTAGGTCGATCATAAGATGGGTGAAAAAGAATGGCGCGCTGACCACGTATTTTTCTCGCGAAAGGCCTGCAGTGCCACGATGCCAAAGTTATAATGCTCATACGCTTCGACCGATAATATTTGTCTCTCAATTCATTACCGCGGTACACGTGATCATAATTTCAACACATTAAGGCCACCGCCAGATACATGAATCACATTCGGTGGAATTCTTTAAAAAGAAAAATTGCTATTATAGATAGAATGCTCACATCCCACACCTATTTCATTTATTTGTTGCTGTGTAATTATTTTCTCGAGAAACATACATGTGATGCAAATGTTGTTGGCCACTTTTTTTCACATTATAAAATTCTTATTTGTGCGTTCGATGAAATTAGATTTATGTTATGGTTAATTGATAAATAGCTGCATGTTTTGTGTGTGTGCTTATTTTTAAATGTGATTTGCATATTTTATCACATCTAAAAAATTTGAGAAATTAATTAACGCAATAAAAAATAGGTCACTAAGCAATTATCTCCGTTGGACTACATTTCCACTTATTTAATTGTTTCCATAAGAATTAAGTGGATTTTTACCTGGGCATAGTATATCAACCGATCATACCTGTAATTCAAATCAAAATAACTTGTATCGCTGTCTTGATAAGAACTGACCTTTTATTCCACTGTGGGATAGCAGTGGTCCTCTCTTTTTCATGTATGCCTCCTGCCATTGGCTTCTTGTACAAATACGCCATGTTTTCCAAAATACAGATAATTACATTCTCAATGATATCCCATATGTATTATTTATTAGGATGATTTTCAAATTGTAAGGTGTGCTAAATGTATAGAACTGCCCTCCCACTGCTGCATATAGTACAGTCGCCGCACCTGTGCCATCATCTGATCTCATTCCGTGCAAGGTGAATAGCAATAAATGTTTTGTAACGTCACCCCAATGTATCGGTTGCGCGGTGGTCAGCGCACTGCACCATGAACCATGTCACCCGGGTTCGATTCGCAGCCATGGCTGGCGAGTGATTTGCTAAACCAATCCTGGGCACCCCACTTCACCAATCTGCAACGACCAGCGTGGTCAAGTATGGTCAATGAATTCTAGATTTAAAGTTTTCGTGACTGCTAGGATTCATATTTTTAGGTTGTTTCGGTAAAGTCACGTAGGTAAAAATTAAAATTAATAAAAGTAAAATAAAATTAAATAAAAATCACGACGTTTCGGAGGCAACACAAGCTTCCGTCTTCAGGTGGAACCGTCACAGCACGATAGCTGTATCAAGTGTGTTGCCTCCGAAACGTCGTGATTTTTATTTTAATTTTATTTTACTTTTATTAATATAGCCAATCAACTCCGATGTCTGGCATGGTATTGAGAGGTCCCTATCTAGCAGTGGCTTTAAACAGCAGGGTACAGTGGTCCGTCCGTTTATGATGCCATCGATTAACGATATTTCGGTTGACAAACCGCCACCCATAGGGTCCCATTGTTTCTATTAACGATACTTTTTCAGTTAACGACGTGTTTACGATGTCACGCGGCCACCAATTTTGGACCAACCGGAGCGCTCAGACCTCAGCCAATCGGCGACGCCCTTTTGTGAGCGTTTTGAGAGCAGCTGGATATGTATGCATCTTTTAATGCTCCATTTAATAATTATTTATCCATGTTTCTATACATTTCAATGCTGCAATATGTTCTTATAACGTTTATTTGTTTAAATAGTGTCAGCATGTTTTTAGGTCAACTTCCGATCGTCTTGGAACAAATTAAGCCTTTAACATATATTTCCTATATTCGATTAACGATAATTAAAGATTGTTTTTGTTGGAACGTATTAATAGCGTTAACCGAGGGACCACTGGGTATTATTATTATTATTATAATGCAATATATGGGTGGCTCAAGTCCCACTTTCATCTAAAATTCCATCAGGGAATAAAAAAACATTCTAAAGTTGAAAATGTAGCCGATGGCTCGTGTTTAGCAAAAATTGCCAGGGAAAAAAAAAAAACACACAACAATTTTAAGCTCACCGTATTTCTTGTTGTTTCATTTGGCCAAGGTAGGAAGCCCTTGTACTGAGTAAAATAACGTATTATCATGGAACATAAAGGCAAAAGTAATGGGCATCTATGTTGCAATGTGATCAACCTGTGCACGACCTGTACATGTGTTGAGAGAACCTGCCTGTAAACGTACAACTCCTGTGCTGTTTCTTACCCAAGGCTTCTCACACTTGATGCTTGGTGATCAAGGTATGGATATTTCTTCTTCTTTTCTCACCACTTGACCTTGCACGCTTAACAAAGCCATGCCCTTTTTTTTTACCAGCTATAGCCTAGAGAAGTCAACGGCTGCAACAACATCTGCACCTCTGTAATATCTAAGATGTGCTTAATTGTACTAATCCTTTGCAATGCTATACCTAAAATGCGCCTTTCAATTATTTCCCCTTCCTGGCTTTGCTATGTTCATTTCATCCTTTTCCGTACATTGGCTGGCGCGCACATTTTTTGATAGTGTAATATATTTACCATGTTGTTTAACACATTCATTCATACTTTGGCGAACAGTATTTGTTTTGTTATATGGCTTTCAAATGTACAAAATAATGTCTGTGTGACTCAGAATCACAATTGTGTAAGGTGCTCACAATTTATGTGAGATATATTGTTATGTCACCTCTGGTTATTGTTCTGTTAAACTGATACACTTTTTTTCTTTTATTGGATGTGAAGATTTACAGCATTAGCCAACAGTGGGGCAAATACTTGGATCCCAATAAGCACACTGATATAAATCTTCCTGAATAATGCAGAGGACAGTCGACTGAAAATAAGTTGTTTGATAAACTTCCCAGTGCATCTGTGGCATTGTTGGTTAGAAATTAGATGATTGAACAGTTCTGTGAGGGCACAAGCGGTGGTGGCAGTGGAGAAATATTGTGCTGGCGTATTGGTGTCTCTTGGCCTCAGGGTGTTCCCGTGTGAGTAGCGGTAAGCGGGAGGAAAAAATAGACATTTACTCCCATCTTTTTTTAACGGAATCCACATACAGCATGTGTCCCTGTGTTATCGTTCATGTTATAATTGTTGTTGTTAAAATATCGCTTAAAGTGCACGGAGCTCTTTAGCTTGGCCAACTGCATACATGGAAAAGTTAAAGCGTCTGCTTTAGGTGCATCCATGTATTGTAATGTACAATGAACATTACTTTTCCTGGTTTTGATTTATTCAACTGCACACTATGAAGGTATTCTGTCGTTATTTCTTCGCGATGGAACAGTGCTGCGGTGGTTTATTCACTGCCCATCTGAGCACGCTCAGCTGAGTTGTATTCCTTAACCTGGCTAACATCAGTGGCGAGATATATCTGAACTGGTCCTGGGCTACACAACAGCCTTCACCAATCTGCACTGACCGACATGACATGGGGAGGCCACAGTGGGATCGACAAGGGACAGAAGTTTATTATTACTGATATTTTTAATGGACTGCTGCTGTGGTGTATTGGTTCGCACAACTGCATTTGCAATCCAGAGGTCACCAGTTCAATTCGATCTTCCAGTTCAGCAGTAAAAAAAACGGTGCAGGTTTCTTAACTCCCCCCCCCCCCCCCGCGTCTGTTTACCCAGCGGTGTAAATAGGTCAGGTGGTAGGGCAGAGTGTGGGTCCTTTCCCAGCCAACTTGGAGGAACAGGAAAATATGCCCTCTAAAGGGTCTATTGGAAGCCCTTCTGCCAGCAGTGGCTTGAACAAGCAATTGCTGGGTTGCACCTTTACCTCTCATTATCGTAGCCCCAGTCAATCCAATTCACTATGTCCCAATAACTTTATGATGAAGTGAAAAGTAAACGCTGCACTCCGTTGGTAGGCTCACAACTATCCTCATGCAACTGCGGGTATTGTATATTGTGATGGCTAGATTAGGGAGGCTAAATGGCTCTAAGTGTGTGACTGTCTGGGTTGCACGATAATTGCTGCGCAAAGTCTTCGTTGATGGTTACATAATGAGCAAATAAATGTGCCTTTTCAAAGTGTTCCAGAGGAGAGCGATGGGAAGATTGGATTGTTACACCTACATGCATTTTTTGCTAAAGCTTCACCTTGTGCCACTGCAGTTAAATTAAAGAGTAATTTAACCTGTAAGGTTTCGCGAAATTACAAAATGAAATGATCAAAAATAATTGCCTTCACATTACCCTTGTAAAAGCACCCATGAAAAAATATGTAATGTAAGACCACTTTTAACACTTGCGAGATTAATTAATCTCTGGCTAATCTACGCATAGGAGATGTCCATTTTAAGTTAAAAAAAATTCCTTTCGTAGCAGACAAGCGTTTCCTGCCATGTGGTGAACACATCATGCAAATGGTGCAGCTCAGGCTCGTTGTCTTTGGAGTCTAGACATCAATGAGCACGACATGTAACAACTCAGTTGTTTCACGCGATTATTAAACAAATGCTGTTTTTTATCATTGATTTGTATCTCTTATAAAGCAGACAGCTGCTCCATTGCATTCAAACCCAAGTCAACCAAATAGGCCCTTTATATATCTTGTCAGTTATAAGAATATGTGCTGGCATGTGGGTGTAATCTAATTTTATCTTAATAGATATTTTATCTTCACACAGAAATATATTCCATATCATTCACGGAAAATATAATGCCTTAATTATGACATATTATTATTATCATCCATTTTTCGTAGACTTCCTTTTTTTACAAAAGAGAAAATTCAATGAGTGTGGCAAAAAAAAACCTGCCATCTTTTACAACATTTTACGTGATATCCTTGGGCCGTAAAAGTCAATTTAAAAAAATATACATTTCATTCATACCGTGCCTTTCGTCAAAGTAGCTCTTCTCCAAGGTGCCTTACAATATTCACGTCGGTACGTATTTCACACTGCACTACATTCGACTGCTAACCATGCAGATTTACTCAGGTGGTGCATTCAAACCACTGACACGCTCTCACTCTCACCATAAATAGCACATCTGTGGGAGTGAGTCATATACTCGTTCCCCGGTGTTGGTCATTTGCGCAGGCGTGGTGTTATCAATGCCCTTGGTTAAGTATCAAAAGGCCCCCTTGTGTTTTTGAAAGAACAAATCTGCAGCTGATGATTTTGATTCAGCGGTGAAAAGACAGCGGTGACGTGTGTCTCTTGCTGTGAGATTTTTTTCGCGCGGCAAGTACAAATAAGCATTTAGCATTTCAGAGTCGAGAGAAGGTACATTATCCTGCATTGCGGTTTGGTGACTCCAGCCAAGTTAGACTGCAGCAACACTTCGGTGACTCGACACATACCATTTTACTGTGGCTCTGCATAGAGGGAAGAACGTTTTTGGCCAAATCTTGTGAGAATTTTCTACAGCTGTTCTAAATACTGGATGGCCACTCTCATGCCTCTGGGCATGCCTGTTGATGACTGAGATCTTTATTTACGTCCCTACTAGATCCTGCTGTGATGAAAATGTCGGTCGCAAAGTTTGCTACAATTGTGCCTCATTCAACGCGGCTACTTTGAATAACATCTACACAGGAGTTTAACACGTAGGCTTTCGCGACCAATCTCATCCATAATCGAGGTCGTACTCAGATTGTAAATGTTGTGGCTTGGCTCTCCAACACACCGGTTAGTGCTGTACTAGTGTAGTGGGTTCCACAGAGGTGCACACTCGATCTTGGAGGCAACACGTTTATTCGTAACACAACGGAGTAACCAAATAACCACTTGATGGGATAACGATATAGGGTGGTAACCACCACGCGTAACTACATAACCACTCGACGGGATAACTATATACTCGGACCAGGTCAGCTAACTCCCTGCCTGGTCCACGATGCCATGCGTGAAGCCCAAAAACCGAAGACGTAGCTGGCAGATTCCATTCCCAGAGACGAACAGCCAAGATCACTCTCGGGACTCGGCCTTTATGGGCTGTGGCGAGGCCAGGCTCTGACCTTGGCCACGCCCCTCTTCCAGATCCTTCTCGGAGACTCGGGACCCACATCACGTGTCCCTCTCACCTCCTTTTTGGCCCTCATTACTACCTCATCTGGTCACGTGCCTTATCTGGTTCACCCAGACGACCATGTCCTCACCCGTCCTCTCTCTCTCTCTCGCTGTCACCCGGAATATGCCCCCAAGGGGCCCTTCCATTCCGTACTCATCCCGGTGCTAGAGAGAGACTCCCCATGTACAGTACCGCCCTTCTCTCGGTACTGGTGCTACACCACAGAGACACTATACACGCCACTACATCACCCCCCCCCCCCTTGTAAAACACAGCCGTCCCGGCTAATAACGCCCGTAAAAAAAACGCAGGAGTGTGCCTAAAAAAAACTAAAGTATCGCAAAAGGTAGAACAATGATGACGGCACAATAAATACATGAAACATACACACTATGTACAATTCCCGAGAAAGGGAGAGGACGAGGGAAGAGAGGGATGAAGAAAAATGCGAGCAATGGCCAGTTTCCCCTCCCCCAACAGCACCATGCCACTCACATGTGCGTCTCAGCACACATGAGCACAAGAAGAGCCAGGTTCAGCCAATGACCCAACTGACTCGTGCGTGTGACCACCAGCAGACGGAGTAGAAGGGAATGGCATGCTGAAGGAGAATCATTCAGACCAGGCAGTCTTTGGATGAGTCCTTGTCGCCGGGCCTCCTGGTGAGGTGGGCCTGAGCTACCTGGAGGTCCCGGGGGGAACTTGAAGATGGCCTAACGGGCGCGGCGCCTACCGCGGATTCACAATGATGGGCGGAGAACGGGTGGGCGATGGACGCTTCGCACCCCGAAATCTGCAGCTGGCGACGTCGAAGATGTCAGGTGCTTCGATCCTGTGGGTGGAATGACAGAACTCCCCTGATACACGACCTCAGTGGATGCATGCCCCAGCTCATCGGACACACCCGACACTCGGCCCTTGGGTAATGGAGATGAAGGGAACTCGCAAGGCGGTACAAATGGCTTAAGTCATGATGGGTGCACAAACCAACGCCGGTGGCTGAACTGTATCTGTTCACACTGTAGCTTGTTGGCCTGTACTATGTCGACCAAACCCCGCCAAGGTTTGTACAGTTTGGGGGATGTACCCACCGGTACCTGTGGACAGTGCAGCCAAGTCCTGTCACATGCTGCCCATTTATTCCCCGGAGCCCCCTTAGCCTTTCATTAGCCGACTGCCTCGAGGCCGAATTCTAGCCTGGAAGCCTCCCGTGCTTTCGACACCCACTGG